TTTTTTTTTTTTTTTTTTTTTTTTTTAAGTACACATTTAAATGAGTTAAACTTAAGCTTAAATAGGTTAGCTTCACAAAATGAAATCTTATCATTAATGTTAATAATTTGAGTATAATTAGTTAAACTATTATCGTTTCAATTTAGAAGGGTTCAAATCTTCATCTGACAACAACACTCACATATTGTTGAATTTAAAAATTATTAAATAAAAATTAAATTATTATCTACCAATGACATAACCTAGCAAATTTTACGTGCTTCCTATAATAAATTTGTATTTCGAAGGAAGAACTCCTCTGCAAAAGAATGAAATCTAGTAGGTAAACTCGTGCACATTTCAATACTATTTTGATCAAAAATTGATGATTATAGCAAGTTTTTAGAGGATAAAAAAATTCACCTATAATTGAGACAGAAACTTATCAGCGTGCAAGCAAGAACAAGTGTCCAAACAGGAATGTTAGGCTCGCAAAGGAGATGGATTGTGAGATGTATATATAATAATAAGAAGAATAAACATATATATATATATTTATATATAATAATGAATAGTATAACCCCCACCTATGAAAACGAAAACCCATATAAAAAGGAAAAAAGAAAATGGAAATTTGCTTCTTAAAGGTGGAATGGTGATGTCTCGAAAGAAACAAACCATGTGGAAGTGGAGAGAGACGTTTCTTTTGCATCAAAAAGACAAGTTCGCTAAAAAAAAATAAAAGAAACTGCAAAAAGTCAAAAGCTAATTTTTTTTTTTTTAGAAAAAATAATAATAACAAATTAAGAACATCAAAAAGCTCCCCACTTTATCAAAAGAAGCCACCGTCTTCTTTCCTCCATTTGCCTCTTCCTTTTCACGTAACCACTGGATAAGCATGTTTCCATGCTGTTCATACCCAATTTTTTACATCATTTTAACAAATAATTATAAACTACCCCTATATACTTCCCAAATTTACTAGATTCATAATAAAAATTTGTATTTTATTTCAAAAAGTATCTCTTACCCTTTGATTTTTATGAAAATACTGAGCTTTTCACCTGATGTGGAGCTCAAGAAGGCAAGGAAGATCTTAATGTTGATTAGATTGTGACATGCTAAGCATCCAAAAGCTCAAATTCTGCACTTGTCACTCGTTGACGGTATCTGTGCGAGTAATCCGAATCTGCAGCGAAAACAATCAATATTCTCAGTGCCCAGGAAAAGTAATGAACCAAATCATATCATTCTTACCTAAAAAGCTGAGGCCGGGTTTACTAATGAAAGTTAAACGCTCCATTCATATCAGACACATTCATCCTATTTTCCTTTGTTCTTAATATACTTACCTAGCTACCACTAAGTTTTACCTTTAATATTGCCCCCTCAGCCTTTCCCCACTTTTTACTTTATAGTTCTCTTTATCCTCTTTTTTGTGATGATTTTAAATTTCATTATACACTAGAAACTTGCAATAGTTGGAGCGCAAGGTCGAATAGGTATAGCAGGGCTATTCTACCTTTTCTGTTGCCCCAACGAGGCTTCAGATAAATTAAGCATTTCTGGAAAACAATCGTTTAAACCCAACCAAACTGGGCATTTTGGTTAGTTGATATACCAAGATTGAGGCTAAGGGTGTGTTTGGATTTAGAAAAGAATGGTCTTAATGATGATTATTCAAAAAGTTATTCAAAAGTGATTGATAAAAATTCGCTTTGTAATCGAATCACTTTGATGGAGTGTACCACAAGTATGCAAAAGAAGATTACCTTACCTGGGCAAGAGCATAAATTTGTGAGATCCCACATCAAGTGAAGAAAGCAACGAGTGTCAAGGAGGAAGCTGTGTCTCGAAGGAGATGGATTGTGAGATCTCACATTGATTGGAGAAGGAAACAAAAATTATTTATAAGGGTGTGAAAACTTGTACGTAACAGACGTGTTCTAAAAACCTTGAGGGGAAGCCCGAAAGGAAAAACTCAAAGAGGACAAAATCTATTAGCAGTGTGGACTTTGGCTGTTATAAATAGTATCAGAGCTAGACATGGGGTGGTGTGCCAGCGAAGACGCTGAGCCCCAAAGGGAGGTAGACAATGGACGGTGTGTCAACGAAGACGCTGGGCCTTAAAAGAGGGTGTATTGTGAGATCCCACATCGGTTGAAGAGGGGAACAAAACATTCTTTAAAGTGTGTAGAAACCTCTCCCTAGTAAACATGTTTTGAAAACTTTGAGGGAAAGCTTGAAAAGAAAAACCTAAAGAGACCCAGTTCATGATTGCTCTAAATATTATAGCATAATCAGTTCCCATCATCTGAATCACCACATCCGCCAGAAATGTTCCCCAAAACCTGATTCAGATACAGATAATTATAAACTGGTTGGCATTAAATTAATTAGCAACAAGGAAACAATTTTATCAAGCCTATATCATGAACTGGGCCATGTTTAAACAAGAAATCAAAAAAAAAATTAAGCAGTTCGATTGATTTAGTCACCAAAAGTTTCAATGTGCAGACCTTTTGTTAGTTCATTGGGCCGAGCAAAGTCATCGTGCTTCTGAAACCCAGATACCTTAAAGCAGCACCAGCAAGACCCTGTCCAAATTGCAAGAACTAGATATCTCAATATTCAAAGATAAACCTGAATGGGTACCTAATGGATGCCCGTGGCCCGTGGGCTAAAACTAAAATTGTTTCCGGAATACCTTCTAGTTTATGAATTTTTTTTTTAGAAATAATATTTTAATATCTTAAATAACAAATGGATGGGTGGACCATAAGTAATGTTATAGGCCATAAATTTATGAATCCTTAAAATATTCCTTGTTTTCATGGCAGAACCTCTCCGTTCTTAAAAGAGATTCCTTATCATAACTCATCACTAGATATTGTCTTTTTTGGATTTCTCTCTCCAACTTCCTCTCACGATTTTTAAAATGTGTATAGAGAAGTTTCCACATTCTTATAAAAGAGGCATTATTCTCCTCGCCCAGTAGGATTGCACACTCATATGTTACATGGAAAGAAAACAAAAAAAAATCATTCCACTAAATGGTAAGACCTCCTACTGTAAATATATATCAAAGGAGGGGCAGGCTTGGAATTGCATCCCAGTGAAGTTGCTTGTAGGACTGTCTTTTGTTCTGTTTTTTGTGTATTCAGTTTATGCATACTCTCAAAAGGCTCACTTGTAATCGCTCTTGGGCTACTTTAGTGATATCAATATACTGATTGTAAGGAGATACCTTGCACAAACGGTAGCAATCCAAGTCCACTGCTAACGGATAGTGTCCGCTTTGGCTCGTTACGTATCGACGTCAGCCTCACAGTTTTAAAATGTATTTGTTAGGGAGAAATTTCACTCTTATAAAAAATGTTTCGTTCCCCTTCCTAATCGACGTGAGACCTACTCCTTTACCACCACAGTAAAAAAAGCAAAACTTCCAAGTAAAAGATGCCAGTTCGACAGAAAGAGCATAAAAGCAAAGAAAGACAGTCTCAGCTGCTTTAGGCTGTGCTCTCTAAACCATGGCATTTATTTCTAGGTTCACACATCAATAATGTTTTCGATAATACCGAGTACCTTTTTGATGATTTCCTTTTTAATTCAATGGTTGGCCGCTTGTTGGAACACCTTCCCAGATAATGTCCTAGCAAGCTGACACAAGAGGAAAGCTTCTTGAGGGGAAAAATTTTATAAAACCGATACCTTTAATATCAAGGATTGCAGGTTAGATGCTCCATCTGTAGCTGCTAAAGTTTCACCTTGCACAGATTGAGTCCAATTTGTATACTATCTTCAAGGTTAGACTGCCATAATGATTCTTCACTACATGGCCAAGGACAAAGTTTTCTGACTTACCAACTTACACAGCACTTGATTCATGTATGCAACTTCAGATATAGCGACACATCTAAATTTTAGATGAGCAAATCAAGAATATAAAATTTTTACCTAACACACAGGCTTAGGGGAAGTACCTTGCAGGAACAAATGAAGAAAGATTTCTGCTTCAAGGTCTCCAAATGACTACTTGGTTGAGCAAGGAACGTTTAACTTTTTTTCTCACTGAAAGCAATGCATCTCTATAAGATGGTCTCCAACCCCTTCAAAGAAAAACGTGTGAAATAAATTCAAACGATTGAAATGAAATTTGCATAAAATGGATGAGCAGAAAAATTCCTGAGTAAGCCATATGAGATAAGCCTCCTTCAGCCTCATAAAGGCTAACTACAGGTACAGTAAACTTGTGCAAACATTTCCAGTAAAAACAACCTGGTAGAGATACAGTAGTATGAAATTTCAATTTTGGTGTGAGATCCCACGTTGGAGAGGAACGAAACATTCCTTATAAGGATGTGGAAACCTTTCTCTAGTAGACGCGTTTTAAAAACCTTGAGGGGAAGCTCGGAAAGGAAAGCCCAAAGATGATAATATCTGCTAGCAGTGGGCTTGAACTATTACAAATTATATTAAAGCCAGACACCGAGTGGTGTGCCAGCGAGGACACTGGGCCCCATGTGGGTGGAGTGCGATATCTCCCATTAGTTGAAGAGGGGAATGTGTGGGAACTTGAGAAAGAGCTCCGAAATAAAATGCCAAATAGGACAATATCTGCTAGTGGTAGGTTTGGGCTGTTACATGTGGCCTCACACGCCAAACAATATGAACTAAGCATACATTCTAATTTGGCATTTCGAAACCTTAATGTCAACCGAGTATCAGCTGTTGGATACAAGAATCAAGACTATTGAGTCGAAAGATCGTCTCCCTCCTCAAGGTCTTCCTCGATCGTGGCATAATCAGTTTGGCCTCTGTTTGTAATCAATTTCATCAAAGGACTCAAGTAACTGCACATCGCCAATACAAGATCAGCCTCCTGAAACTAAACTGGACATCTAGAAACTTGATGATACTATATGTTCCCTTCACCACTTCCTACAATTTAGAAGAACGGATCCCAACAAACATACTTCAGCGTATTACTAATCATTTTCTGTATTAAAGCGCAAAGTCTCGATGGAGCTAAAATGCTTCTAAACAAAGCAACAAATGAAGGAAAAACGACCTGGAACCGAAGAGGATTTGTTCAAGCTCATATAATTAAGAATTTGTCGAAATTCTGGGTCAAAAACATCTGAAATTCGCTGTTTCATGCCGGAAATTCAATTCACTGAAAGAGTTAAAAGAGAAAGAAGCTAAGAACCTTGGCCATTTCTTGGATTGGAAGCATTGGCACAACCCACAAATTGACATTTACGCCCAGAACAGCTGAAAAACTGCCGAACAATTTGCACCTTCTTTAGAGAACAGTAGCGATACACGATACAACAAACTAGAATCCTGATATTTACACAAATTGAAGTATCAATCAAGCGACTCAGCTAGTTAAGTGGAAAATTTGATTGCAGTATCCTCTAAATAGCTGATTCAATAAACCAGTGCGTCGTCTAAATAAAACTAAATTTGGAGGCGAAACTGTAGCAGGAGAAACAGAAGCTTACGGGATATGCAAGTTTTTTGGAAGCAGCCGGTGAAAGGAAGGTGAGTTGAAGCGCAGCCAAAGCAGTCGTCATGGCGGGACACTTGCCGCCATCGCAGTATGATAGTATCAGTGGAAGGTTCAAGACACAATGCTCGTCCCGCGCAAGTGTTGAACCTAAAATTATATAAAATTCTCGTGAAATTTTAAATTTTAATAATTAAAATATTAGAAACATAATATTTTTCTTAATAAAAATAGATGTCACCTTAGTTTATCAATACTATATTGGGTCATGCAATTTTTCTTACAAAAATATTATTAATGAAAAATTGATCAATTTTGGGTTTAATCCATTTTTGTGATACTAGAGGAGAACGAATCATTCTTTTATAAGAGGTGGAAATCTCTATCTACCCATGAAGTTTAAAAACTTTGAAAAGGAGCCAAAAAAAAAAAGGAACAAATAAAATAATATCTGCTAGCGGTGGGTTTGGGTTGTTACAAGTGGTATTAGAGTTGGGTGATGTGCTAACAAGGAAGCTGATTACCGAAGGGGGTGGACACGAGGCAGTGTACTAGCAAGAACGTTGGGTCCCAAAGGAGTGGATTGTGAGATCTCACATCAGTTGGGGAGGAGAATGAAGCAAAAAAATGTGAAAAACTCTTCCTATCCATTTTAAAAACCTCAAACGGTAACAAAAAAAAAAGTTAAAGACAATAGTTGGTAACCGTGAGATTGGGCTATTACAATTTTTGTCTTCCAAATTGAAACTTAAATAAATAATAAAACTTACGCCTGATTTAACACCTAATGGTCTCAGCATTCTCTAACATGGTCAAGTAATGGTTCCGACATTTTATTGCGACATAGTTAAGTTACTTATTTTTCACTTTCAAGAGTGAAAGTTATCCCCACGTATTAACGCATATTCTTTTATGATGTTCTGTTCTTATTCACATATTTGTTTAAAAAAATTATATAATATCACACAGGATAGGATTACTCTAATGGAAACAGGGTCAAGATGGCCGAGTTGGTCTAAGGCGCCAGTTTCAGGTACTGGTCCGAAAGGGCATGGGTTCGAATCCCATTCTTGACAAAAAAAAATTATTGTGTTAATTACCTTGCTTAGTTTTGTATCACTTTTTAATTAAATGAACTAATCCTCCAAGGTTATCTGTTTATTTTATTAATTGAGTTCAACTAAATCCTCTAAAAGGGTTTAACGAGCAAAATTTAGTTAATTTAATTATTTTATTGTTTTTTTTTCCTTAATGAGTTGGACTCGAATCTTGGTTGTACTTGCATAAGAAGATGCGACAACTAAATAATTAGAGATTATAGACCAAACAAAACTATTAATTCGTGACAAAAAAATAATAATAAAAATAATTGTCGTATGGGTTAATTTAAAATAAAAATAATAATAATAAAAAAGTCGGA